TTGGTAACAAAATAAATTCATATTATCACTACTAATAAAATTTTCTATAAACTTGTATTTATTAAAGTTGTACATTTTGAACAAAAGTGCAATTTTAATTAGAGTAATAAAGATACTGTTAAGCGATAAAAAAAATAAGTGTATGATCAACCACATATGGTATACAAATGGATATTTATACAATTTTATAAAGTAATTGATATAGTTAAATGACTCATTGTTAAAACATTATGTAAATATGTAGAGATTTCGTTATATTTTAGTTGAATTTAAATTTGTAATATATGTATTTGTGAATGTATGTTAAAAAATTAATGTAAATATGTAGAGATTTTTAATATGGCATATCGATTTAGTTAGAATGTTTTGATAGGTTGATTTAATTGATGTGTTCATTAAATTTCTCTTTGCTTGACATTTAGGATTTTCTTGTGAGTGTCTCCTCAATTAATATATAGAGGATTAGCAACACCGAGCAAAGTTACTTTATTACAATTTCGTTTATTAAAATGATACGGCCGTGCCATTTTTAGTTTTTACTACAAAAAATTGAGCTAGCATTAAATTATACAGCAAATATTGTAAAAACAAGTAATTACTTTATAGTGTGTTGACCAAAAAAACATTTACTTTATTTAAATGACTTGTTCATATATGAGTATAACTTATGTGTATATAGTAATTTTTAAATTAATACATCTAATAATTAAATGCATTAAATTATGCAGTTTTTATTTACTTATTTTAAATATTTTGAAAACTAAACAATTTTGAAATTCAGCTGTCACCAGTCCAGATTTAGTCAAATGTGTATACTTTAAGAAAAATATGGAAGTTGTTATAAAGCACTTAAATAGAAATGACATTATTAGAAAAACTTCCAATGTAAACTTCCAAAGATAAGAAAGTCTATCTTTTTAAGAAGGAAAAACTAATTTTTTTGTTTTGATAAAAACTAATTAGTATTACAAAAATCAATGATTACCATAAAATGATCGCAAAATTTTAAATTACATTTATATATATACACTTGTAAAAAATCTAAGCAACCATGTAAAAATTGTAATTGGTAAATGATGATATATTATATTTAGTGTTTAGATTTGAAAACCTAAATTTAAAAAAAAAAAAAATACAACGTGTCATGTTTCTACTGCAAGATGTAAATATATCAAATTTCAACGGTAAATAATTTAAAAGTTCGTTAACAATTTAAAAGTTCGTTAAGTCTATTTAAATTAGTATAAACTGAAAATTATAAAATCCGCGAAACACAAATGCGCGGATAACAATTACGTGGGTACTTATCTAGTTTGAATTCATGACAAATCAAATCAACATTTTGATTTGCATTTTTAAAGCAACATTCAATTAGCAAATCACATGTTCTATAATTTTGAATTAAGGGAGCTCTCAAAAAGAAATGCTAATACCAAATACTCTACAATTTTTTAGTATTAAACATTTAAATAGGACGAAAGTCGAAAAGAAAACGGACTCAAACGAGTAACAAATAAATTATGTCAATGGTAGGAAGAAACATTACAATGAGAACCAATCTTACCTAGCCTGTAAGTAACTTGAAACCCAAGATAATGAAACCCTAAGAACCCTAAGTACAGGAGCACTCATTTACGCAAAGAAGCTCATGAAGAAACATTATTAAAGAGGACAACACTAATGTCGCAATCAATTCCGATGAACACAAGGGTATGAGTTTTGATGTACTTGACGATTAGTTTCTTCGATGTCTTCTACAAAACAAATTCAAGAAATCACGATAAGAAACACAAGCACAAGATCAAAATCTCATTTTCTAACATATAGCAAATTGTTCTTTTACCTTGAAACCAAAAGCGACCTGCGTTTTCTCTTTGGAGAAGGAAAAGCCAGAAATTGCGGTTCTTGTTTTTTGCTCGAAGATGTATCATTGAACACCAAAGAAGCTCCTTTACATGCCC